GCGGGTATGAACCATCAACAAAGCAGCCTCCCAAGCGGAGTCGCCAGAATTATAAAGGGGTTCGAGGTTAGAGAAGGTAATTAGAGAGGCAAAACTATGCTAATGGTCCAAGAATGGTGGAAGTGGCTTGAGAATGAGCAGCAGCAACTGTCTGGAAGTTGGAGAGTGTGCAGCTGGGTGAGGGTGAAGCAAGTAGCTCAAGAAGAAATGTATAGCAGTGCCAAAATGGGTAGCATCTACACCAAATCCCCGAAATTCCTCTTGTTGAACCATGGGAAATGGGTCCTATTTATATAGGCTTTTCCTTGGCACCAAGAGAACACCTAGTGGCCAAATAGAGAGAGGACATGTGTCCTAGAGGATCACATGGAATATTCTGCCTTCAGCCACCAGGCTGAAGGTGCCACGTGTCCTTCTGCATGTACTGTATACTATCTGTTTGCCTCCGCAACTACCTTTTTGAGCCTCAGCAAGTGTAGTTGCGATGAGAGTGTTTGGCGCGACAACTCCCTCTTGAGCCTCAGCAAGTGCAGTTGCGACGGGAGCGTTTGCCGCTGCACTTGCCTTCTCAGCTCGAACCTCAGCAAGTGCAGTTGCAGCAATAAACTTTGCTACTGCACTTGCCTTCTCAGTTCTACTTGGCCACTACATGCATTCTCAGGACTCTATTAGTCTGCTATCGACAATGTTCATGCTCACCGCAGCGAAGCTTTCACCCTTAGCCACCTAACCACAAACTCGTCAGCTTCCCCGGGCAAAGGCCACAGCCAAGCCTGCTATCAGCCTTGTTGTTCCTTAGTACCAAGCCCAAGGGGCTTCCTTAGTCCTGCCTGTGCGACTAAGGCAAGTCTATGACCTGGGTAATGGAAAGGGAGTCCCTTATGCTAGGGCTACCCTGCTCCCATCTTCGCGGGATCGTCACGGTAAACTGGTACCCTGGGCCTGCTATCAACTCCAACCAATAAGTCTTGGGGACTGCTATCAGTCCTAGGCTAGTAATGCCTTGAGGCCTGCTATCAGCACCAGGCATTACCCTCTCCTTGCAAAGGGAAAGCTTTTCCCAGAGGCTGCTATCACCTTGGCGGGATGTTCCCTCCGCAAGTTGGTTGCTGCAGCAGTAGTTGCTGCGGTAGTCATTTCCCGTGGCAAGTTCAAATGGCATAACCGACAATATTGGAGATGGCGGCGCCGACAAAGTGCGTCCGCAACTTGGGCGCCTCTGCAACTTGGTTGCTTCGGTTCTCTTCTTCCCTCAACAACTCCAGGTGGCGACGGAACCGAGAATACTTGGAATGGCGGCGCTAAGACAAAGTGTCTCCGCAACTTGGTCGTCACAACTGTCGCCTCTGCAACTTAGTTGCTTCGGCTTTCTCTTTCCATGAGCAACTTCATGTGGTGGCTGAACCGACATTATTGGGCAATGGCGGCGCTGAGACAAAGTGCCTCAACAACTTGACCATCGCAAGTGTTCCCTTTGCAACTTTGACTTAAGAATTTTCCTTCATGGAGTCTGTTTGGACCCTTGGCGGGTCAGACCTACTTCGGCCTACTGTTGGCCCACTTCCCTTGAACTTTAGCCCATGCTCCTGTATCATTCCTGGTCGCCTCTTTGGGACGACCTCAGTACTTAGGCCCATACTTAATTTGGGGTTTAATTTCTGACCCTCTGAAAAAACAGAACGTTGTGGCTGAAAGTAGTGCCGAAGCTGAATTTAGATCAGTGGCTCATGGAATTTGTAAAGCTTTGTGGATCGAGAGATTATTGGAAGACTTAAAAATTCCAAGAACATCACAAATGGAAGTTTACTGTAACAAGAAGGCAGCAAATGCAATTGCTCATAATCTTGTTCTTCACAACAGAACTAAGCATGTGGAAGTCGACAAGCACTTTATCAACGAAAAGATTGAGAAGGAATTGATCTACATGTCGTATATACCCACTGCGGAGCAGATAGCAGATGTTCTTACAAAGGGACTAAACAAGAGGCAGTTCGACCACCTAATCTACAAGTTGGCCATGGAAGACATATTCAAGCCAACTTGAGGGGGAGTGTTGGAAATGGGAAGAAAATAATTCTACCAGGATATGACTGAATTCTTTAGGATATCATAGCTGTAAATATCTAGATTTAGTCAATACTATAGAATAGGAAAGTTTATATTTAGAATTAGAATTAGTAACTAAATAGTAGCTATCAGTCCTCAGAATCAGTAGCTAATCAATCCCTTATTTTATGCCATGTATCTCCTATTAATAGAGGTGTTGTGTGTACATTGTTTAATATGAGAATAAGAAATATTATTCTTTCTAGCTTTCATACAAAATAATAAAATCCAGTTTTCCAACTAGTACCAAGCATGTAGATTTTGAATTTCTGAACAAATTTAATTAAGGCATTTCAAAATGGCCTATTTGACTGATCAATAAATTAATGGAAGGAAAATAACACGGTGCAGTTGTTAATAGAGTAAGTAGAACTTCAATTGGCGAACAATAATGCAAGACCCCAAATGTTCTAGCAAACACTCACATGGGTGTTGGTCCCACACCCATGTGAGTGGTAGATTTTTTGGTAAATTTTTTCATAGCCCTAGGCATTTTTGCTCATTGGTGAAATATGGCAAGTGACGAAAACCACGAAAGAAAGACACGAAAAGGAGCATAATGTAACTACTAGGGAATCCTGGAAAACAAACTCACTTGGTAAGCCAACGAGAGATGGAAATAAGATGAACAAATGATCCAAGAGACATCAATGCTGGAAGCACACTTAGAAACGATTTTTCTGATCTGCATCAAAAAACAACAGAAAAAAAATATATGTATGATAGTTAGTAATGCCCTTCACTGCAGATTAAGTTCACAGTATCTCTGAAAGCATTCTTTTACATCCTCCTTTTTGAAATTAAATATATGTGTTTAGTTGTCAAATTTTCCATTAAGCTTAATTAGTTTCAATACGAAATTACTGTACCATATTTTGTTCCAACAAGGTTGGGAAGGTGCATAATAACTTTAAACATACAAAATAAGATGTGGCATCACATAAGCAACAAAATTTATTTCTGAAGTAGCATTGACAAGACAAAAATAAAATAAAACTACAATTATGAATACCAATATATATGAAGGGTCTTGCTAAAAAGTGCCCTGGGACACGAAAAGTAGACCAAAAAATAAATTTGAAAACACAAGACACTTCTTATTAAATGCAATGCACTTTTTATTGAAATTAACGCACTTCTTTTAACTGTTTGACCTATTTTCAAGACACTTCCTTATTTCAATCCCAATATTCAGCACTTTTAACATTTGTCATATACAAATATCAAGTTATAAGGACACAACAATTGCACGAATTATAACTAAGATCATTTCAATAAAATAAATGAAATATATCTTTTAAGAATGGAACCAAAAAGATGACACAAGGAACTTACTTCTCTACATTTCATAAGCTTTAGCATTAATGGGAAAAACTACAAATGCAAGACTGATGTTAGAGGAGGGTAAGTTACCAAAATATTTGATATACATGTTTCATATTTCTTCTTTTCTACTTCTAAATCTGAAAATTCAGTCAAATAAAGAAACTAAATCCTATGCAAAGAATCATGCCAATCTCAAATCATACCT